CTCAAAGATTAAACTAACCTCTTTATTAGTTCAATTTTTTAATTTTTTAAAATTTTTACATTTTTAATTTTTCTTTGTATTGAATTAATGCTCATGCAAGTAATAATATGTCAGATATTTTCTGTTTCAAAATACATTTATAACAATAGAACCGGTTATAACTTTTATTGTTTATTACCTTTATCGTTTATCAAAGGTATAACTATCGGCAACCGAAATAGGGAAGTAAATATTCCGGAATGTTTAGTAATTTGTGTTATCCAAGGTAGGAAAAAACAATTGATAGCTGAAGAATAATAATAATAGTAATTATGAAGGGTTTTAGTTTTAATATGGAACTATCATGATAATCTTGTTATCAATTCCTAATTTTATACAACCATATTATATTATGAGGTTAATTAGGGTACTAGGTTAATTAAAATTCGCTTTATTTAGATTTAACTTAAAAATTAATACCATTGCTTTTTTCCTTAACTAATTTTTATTTAATTTTATGAGGAAAAAAAACAGTAAGGAATATTGTTTGAGTGATAAATTTTGATCTGATTTAATCTAATTTAATTGCATCAAATAATAAGTTACTGGAATAAAACTTTTTTCTCGAATTTTCCGACGAATAATTGTGATATTTTCCGGGAAAAAAAGCACATTTTTGAATCTAGAAAATAATATTTGTAGTTTTATTTTTTCAATTTTAAAGCAAATAAATTAACAAATGAATCGAAGAGAATAAATTGTTAAAAGTTTACAAATTGTCGAAAGTTTCAGAAGTTCAAAAAAAATTTACTTTTAAACTTTTTTTTTTTTTTTTGTAGATATATCAGTAAATATATCAAAAGAAAATGATATATAAGGGTAACAAAAAAGGTAAAAAATTATCTGAAAGTATCCAAAAAAAAAAAAGAAAAAAGTAAAGCGTACATAGTTGATTTAGAAAAATATTACTGTCAACTGAATTTTGTCACTTATATTGGGAGTTTTTTTTTTTTCTTCGAATTCAAATTTTCCAAATTAAAACAAAAAGCTCAAATGCGATATAAATTTAAATGGCATATATAAATGATTTTTCTTAGCGTACTTTTATTAATTTCAAATTAAATTTAAAAATTTATTGCAATTTTGTTGGCAAAAATTTTTTTAAGCTTTTTGAAATGAAAATATTTCGCAATTTTTTCACTTTCTTTTTTTTCAAATTATGCGACAAATTTTTCAGCTTAGAAAAGGAAATATATAGATGAGAAAAATACAGTAATATTTTGCGTTAAAAAAAAAGGAAATATATAGATGAGAAAAATACAGTAATATTTTGCGTTAATAAAGAATATATATACATATATATGTATATATATATACGCATATAACAGAATGATAGTGATAATTATTATTAGTTTATACATATGAATGTATAAAATTGATAATAATTTCCATTTTGCTAGGATGAAAATTAATAAAATTTGTCGAAATTATAAATGAAAAATATTAACAACACATATCATAATGATATTATTTAATGATTACTGTGACAATTAAAGTTGACAAAATTGTTAAAATTATGGATGAAAAATATTGACATCATTTTAGCATAACGATATTGATTAGTAATTAGTGTAACCAAAATATATTTGCATTAAAATTGTCTAATAATTAATTGCATTACAATTGAAACTGATAATATTGTCAAAGTTATAAATGAAAATTATTACTGACAACATCATAATATAGTGATGTTAATTAACATTGAAAAAAAAAAAGAATGATAAAGAATAAAGTATGAGGAGAAAAGTTAATATAAATGTTGATTATTAAAAAAAAAAATTTTGTTCAAAAATTTCAAATACATTTTAGTATTTTTATATTTTTCTTTCAAAAAGATATTTTTTCTTTAATAGATATTTTGTAAATTTCTAATATTTAATAGATATTTCCTAAATTATATTTAATAAATCACAAAAAAAAGAAAGATTATATCAATGATTTTAAAATATAAACTATTAATTGATTGATTAAAAAAAGCGTGTAACTTTATCATAGCAAAAATTTCTTGCCACAATAAAAAAAAAAAGAAAAAAATTGCATTGCACATATCCTATATTACATAACTTTTATCGCTATCATTATCACTGCAATTATCACTACTATCATTATCACTATAATCGTTCTGCAAAGAAAAATTTCATATCATTTATAAAAGTACAAATCTTTTGCAATGACTGTATTATTTTACTTCTTATTTCACTTAATATTTTATTTTATTAAATTTTTTTAACGAAAAATTTGAATTTAATAAGTTTTTTTTTTGTTAAATAAATTATTTATTTATTTAGCACGATGATAACGATTTGCAAGAGATATGGAAACGAAGTAATGCTGAACTTATTAATGGATTAATTGGAATGGATTTGGGAAAATTAACAAAAGCTGGTAAAAGGAGCATAATACCACCATCAATGATAACAAACAAACAAAAAGCCATCAACAATGGTCAACGATTTAATATGAATTTGAAAAAATTATTATCATATCAGCGTCATTGTTAATTGTATGAATATATCATTATCATTAATATCATAACATCATTATTAAATGATAAAATGTTGAATAAATGAAATAATTTCATATCATTTGTTCCATTGTTAATCAATCATAATTAAATTCACAAATACTGCATAATACTGTAATTATCACATGAAAAATAAACATGATCAAATATGATTTAAAATGATGAATAATGAAATATTTGTTTAAAAGATGTTAATTATCAACTTATCATTAATTTCATTCAAATAATTTACATTTTATATCAATCATTTGACATAAAATTAAATTACTTCAAACAAAATGTTGGAAGTTATTATATAATGCCAAAATAAAATTTCATTTAATTTGAGATCATTTAATTAAAAACTGATCAATAACTAAGCATTTGATTTTTTTTCTAAGGCATTAAATTTCATTTCATTATACTAGTAACATTCAATTTTACATACATTGATGATATTATTAGTGATATGATGATAAACATAATAACTTTCAAATGATATGAAAATTTAACTGATAATAAAATTGATGGTAAAATGAATACATTTTTTCTTTCCCATAAATTTAATTAATACTGATAATAATAACAATGATAATATAACAATAGTATAATCAAGATTTATTGATATAGCAATAATGATCAAGGTTATTGATATAATAATAGTAATCAAGTTATCATTCTAATCCTGAAAAACATATCGAATTGTGATTTCGATTTCCAATATCAAGAAAAATTGACAAGACAATGATTTCATCAGTAGTAGATAGCAATGAACCAAACTTTTGATATATTTGAACTTAATTTTTAAAATGCTTAAATTTAAGCAAAAATTAAATCCATAATATTTTCATCGTATTCAGCTATCCATGCTTAATCATTACAGTAGATATAACAAAGGAAAGATTATAGATTAAAATGCTATTTCTAATTAGTATATTTCATATACTAATTAGAAATAGCAATATATTTTATATGCTAATTAGAAATAGCAATATATTTTATATACTAATTAGTTCTAATTATTTGCAGCAGCTAACTACATTTTTCTTTTTTTTTTTTCAAATGTAATTTTTCCAAATTGTATGTTATTAAAAAACTACATTTTTACTACATTTTTGTATTTAAAAATAATATAATACAATTGGAAATCAATATTCATTTAATTATTTCCTTTCCAATTTAAAAAAAAAAAAAGAAAAAAAAGAAATTTGTAGTAAAGCGAGAAATATCATTCATTAAAAGAGAGGAAAAATGAATTATAAATATGTTCCTATTGAATAGACTGAATTGAATAGATTGAATTGAAATAGGCTGAATTAAACAAAAAGGTTAGAATTAAATGGGCTAAATGAATGAATTATTCAAAAAAAAAAATGGATAAAATAATGCTTAAATATTTGTTCCGTATATTTGTTTGTTTAACTGATAATATTTTAAGAAATTATTTATTAATACTTTTTTCAAGGGAAATTAATTTAACCTGAAATTTAACTAGGGGATCATTTAAATTAGCAAATAAAGCTTTACCATATTTTGTGATAAAGGTATAAAATGGAAATATGAAAATTGTAAATAATAAACTTTCTTTTTTTTCTTTTTTTTTTAATTTTGCTTCAATTAAATGTATTAAAAATTGCAAATTAAACAAAAAAATAAAATAAAACAAAGAAAAATAATTTAAAAAAAATTTGAACGGAAGAATTTGGAAAAAAAAAGGAAAAAAAAAGAAAGCTTAAAGTAATTAATATATGATATATGATGAAAAAAAATGAATTCAAATACTTCTTATCATTAAAAAAAATTTTTTTTTACGGAAATACCGTAAGAAAATGGAATTATTAATATTCTTTCCTTCTTACGCATTGCAAATCATTAATTTAATATAAAATCAATTAATAATATTAAAAATTTTCATTTTTTATCTTTCCAAAAACTTCCAACTTTCAGATTGAATAATAAAGTAGGAGTATTTTCATTTCAATTTTGAATTATTTTCTTTTCATTTTTTTTTTCATTTTATCCAATTCTTTATGATACTTATTCCTTTTTACATATACAATGAATTTATTTGAAATTCATTTTTAAAACGATTTTATTTTGCAAAGAATATAACGTAGCATTGGGCTTATCTGAATATCTAAAAAATGATATTTTCATCCTATAACCAAATTTAAATAATTCTGTTCTTTTTTTAATTAGAACGAATGTATAGTAAAATATAAATCAATAAATAAATCAATAAATCAATAAATAAATAAAAAATAAAACAAGTAAATCATTTGTTCGTTTTTTATTTTTTTCATAACAAATAACAATTATGGTAATATAGCAATTAATAAACATTCTGTAAAAATAATTAGCAATAATAATTCTTAATTTATATGGATTTAGGATAGTAATTTAATAATTTATGGGTTAGGAGGAAACTTGAAATTATGCTAATTGCAGAAATGCGAAATGATAAATTGAATAAGTGAATAATTCCAGTTTTCATTGTTAACAACATAATCAAAATTATTTTCAACCAAATAATATCGCATGCTTTTTTTTTGCCCAAATTAATTTAAATTAATTTCCATTTAAAATTCACGAATATATATATGTATATATCGATTATTCATTACTGATATATATACATATACATATATATATTGATTAGAATATTGCCATTATCAAATTCTTTTATTATATCACATAAAATTATCGTATATTATATTACTTACCAAATAAATTATCCATTTATTGTAGTATTTTGATATCTTATTTACAACTGTCATAATATTATTATTTACAAATTGTAACGAATGCAAAATTATTTGTAATTTTATAACAGATACAGAGTTAATTGAATGTGCATTAAATGAATTTAATGAATAAATTTAAAAAAAAAAATTTCAACAATACAACTTATAATATTTTCATAAAACGAATTATTTGTACAATAATTTTTCTATACTTTAATATTCATATCGAAATTATTTTCGAAAATAAAATTCCAGCTTAATTTTTTAAATTTTAAAAGCTTTTCATTTCTTTGCTGATGAAATGGATTAAGATATATTAGGACAACTTCTCCATTATCAAGAAATGAACTTTTAAAAACCTATCATCAATATAACAATATAATATAATATCATATTCTGGAAAAAAAGGAAGAAAAAGAAGTATTATTATTATTACTATTATTATTATTATTAATTTTTTATTATCAAAAGGAAATTAAAGGAAAGTACTAAATGCATATTTGACTTTCCATTTATTCCTAATCTATAATTAAAATCTTATCTTCTTTTTATATCAATGAAAGGGGGATCAGTTTAATTTAAAATTTAGCAAATTCGTTATTTTCTTTCCTTCCTTATAATATTTAACCAAATTACATTATTATAATGAATAATTTATGGTTAAATTTGTTCAAATCATTCATGCCTTCTTCTTATTTCTAGTGTTAAAAAATTTGTTGCAAAATATCTACCAAATGAAAATATAACTTTTGAATGTTTCTAATTATTAAATTATTAAATCGGTCCAATTTAATATTAAAAATATAAAAAATATTAAAATTAGAAATATTTAATGTCGCAAATTTACTATATTTAAAATAAGACATTATAAGAATTACGAAAAAATTGTACCACGAGAACAAAAAATAGGTAAAATGGGAAGATAGAGGAAATGAAATATTTAAAAAAAAAACCATTATATTTAAAATTCAGAATATAAAGTTTTTGGTATTCTAATTCTAATAGAAATTATCGAAAAATATTAAGGAATATTTAAAGATATTAAGGAATATTAAGGGAAAAATTTGAAAATATACCCATTTTATCATTTCTACATTTTTATTTTTAAAATAATATTTTTAAAATATACCATTTCTACCATTAAAGGCTTTTTTGATTCATTTGTTTCAGTTATATTAATTAAGCATTTTAGTAGTACGTTGAATCGTATCAAACAATATGATAACAGTACCAGATATGCGGGTAAGCATGAAAGTATGATTGCATTATACGCTTTAATCACCAAAAATTCCAGTACTACTTGCATTAGTTAAACCGCTTCTGCATAAATTGCCATTGTGATTTAAGAAATGTTGTGGGAAAAAGAAATGCTGTTTTCTACTTGGTAGAATATATATGATATGCGGTGTTATCTCAATCTGAATCATGATTTCGATAGCAATTGTTGAAAAATATTCAGGAATATGGAAATCCCTATTTTCGACAATAAACAAATATGTAATTTTGGTGATAGGTATGACAAGGAAGTAAAGAGTAGTAGATTTTATTGAAAATTTCATTGGTTACTGAATTAATTTCATTTAATGCACATTAAAAGAATATCTTTTTCACTTCGAATAGAAACGTGCAAGCTTATCACTTTTTAAAATACACATAATGAACATGACAATGTACCACAACGAAACTCAAAAAGAAAATGTTCGTTGAACTAGAAAAAAAAATGATTGTTACCTATATTCTCCGGAAAAATTAACTCAGTAACAAAAAATAAGCTAGATTAGTAACAATTAAAAGGTAGCCATACTTCCTTCTCAAATGACCACTCGCTATTTTTACAATGGCTTTTATAAACTTTTATAAACTTGAACAGAGATGTGGATTGACTTTGAGCATCGCCTCATTTGCAGCCTATCACCGGAAACCATCATTATCCAAACAACAAAAAAATAGAACAATTTAACATATTTGACATATTTTTGGTTTATTGATATAACGAAAACTTCGTTTACCGAACGTCCCACGCGAAAATTTATGCCGCAATCGTCGTCGCAATGGAATACCAATCTGAAAAACTCGACATGCTTGCAAAAACTTTTCGCTTCACAAAATTCGAAAAAACAAAAATGCATTTGCAGAAGTAATACATAATTGTATTGTTCCGACAAAATTTTTAGCAAATCGAAGAAAACACCCCGAGATAAATCTAACTATAGACAGGTTAACGTTTAGATTTCGATTCAAAATTATGAGCAATAAACTGTCCAAATCAGCAGTTTAAACTGCCATAAAAACAAACATGAATAGTACCTGCTATAATTATTGAAAAATATGTGAAAAATGTATGTAAGCAAAACGTTTTTATGTACTGTAATACTCAAGTTACTGATTATAACTGAAGCAAAAATTTTAAAAATTAAGAAAGCATAAAAATATCGAAAACTACAACTATAATATGTCCATCATTTATATCAGTTCAAGGAAAAAAAGTCGAATGATCAACAAAGAATCATTCAATACTTACCACAGATTCAATTTCCTTCTTGTACCTCAAAGCCACGTCCTTCACATTGATCGGTTCGTGCTCCTCCTCCAGATCAACAAATTTCAGTACGAAGCTGCAAAAAAGGAACATCCGCTCAATCACCCGCAACCCAACTTAAATGTCGATCAAAAGAACAATTCGATAAATAAATATGATTCGATAATTGAAAATATACAATTCGATAATTAAATATGATTCGACAATTGAAAATATATAATTCGATAATTAAATATGGACGCGATTTAGGAGATCTAACATAGCAATATAACGGTACAAATATGTCGTCAGTGTAAGAATAGCTATATTGGATGTTTCGATCATTTCACTAATTCATTCATTCTTTAGTGATATTAAAAAATGTGTATATGTGGAAGTGATTTTAATTTTTATAAGCTTTCTATTTACTCCTATATTTGTTTAATTCCAGCATATACGCTAGGACTAGATCAAACACACAATGATATGTTGGAAAAAAAAAACTAGTATATTGGAAAAAAAGAATAACAGCTAAAGCTTTAGCAAGAATAAAATCCAACCTAGGACCACAAATCTCTCGAAGAGAATAATGTGGTTCGTCGAACCGTTCGAGATCTTCGAGCGAATCAAGTTCATTAAATGGGAACTTTTTGTCTGCTGTAACTCCCCAACATCGCATCAATGCATTCATAGCGGCCATATCGACTGCTATAGATATCGTTTCTCCAGGACCTTTAAGCATTTTGCTTAAACGAAATGTCAAGAAAAAAGAGCTTTACAAACAATCACATGGCTACTTGAATGGTCAAAAAATAAAGATATGATAAAGCTTCCAAGAATTCCATTCATTTGCAGAACCATATCCTTACAAGTAAGTCAACTGACCTGACCCTTCATTCTTCCTCCTTCACCTTTGTCTATTTGTTCTCATTACAAAAAATCAAGTATCAGCAACTTCAAAGAAGAAAAAAATGAAGGATTTGAAAATTTCAGTAGTATCATAAATCAACGACCGCATAAACATATGTTGGTTTCTTTGTTTTGTGCTTATTGCCCTTGTAAACCTGCCACATTTAGGGGTCAGAAAATGATGTGCGGAAAGCAGTTGTCTTTTTCTATGAGAAGCGAATTTGACATTGGCTAGGAAATTCAAAGTGGAGACCATCTCAGAAGATAATTCTAATAGCTTGCCAATCCCTCAAACATCCTTCTCGACCATTTTTAAGGCTTATTTACCTCATATACCGATTATCTACCTCTAGCACCATAAACTGGGCAAAAATTGCGGCAAAAATTTTGTTGTCGTTACATTTTCTCAAAAAGATATTTATGTTTTTATATTTATGTTTATATATGAACAACTTATAAAAACTTTACACCGTACCGACTTAAATTTGCTATCGGTTTTATTCTATAACAAGTTTTGTTATACCTAAAGTACCGTTAACATCTCATATAATATGAATATATTCTTTACGAAATCGTTTATGATTGCATGTCAGTTCGAACATTCTGAGTATGACTAAAGTACGCTTTCTTTCTTTTCAGAAAATGAAAAACTCTTCTAAATCGTCAAATAAAAAAAGCCGAAAAAAAAATTTTAGTTCGGGCTAATTAAAAATGGTTAGGTATAAGAATAGAACTACTGTAGCGACTTATATATGTCAATTCTCAGAAATAGCTTGTTTTACTGCGAAATATGTGTAATTAAATTGTAAACATGTATATTAAATTCGTATATGTACAATTAAATTACTCATATTTTATGAGGACATGTAAATAATGACTTCCACCTAAACAGCTAACTCAGCAAAATCCACTGCTGAAGTTACGTAAAGGATCATAAATTAGTAGAAGGATAATGCAAAGAGATTTCTTAACCCTAATTATTAATTTTAAATTTTATAAACCTGTAAATAAATTTTTTATAAACCTGTAAATGTCTTTACAATGTGTGTTACAATAAATGAGGTCTTAAGTTAAACACTGAAAACATTCAAGAATTTCTGAGGTAAGCAGAACGTTTTCGTATAGAAATGGAGTACATAAAAGTCTTCCTGCAACTGATAAAAACCATAAATGGTGCAATTAAATATTGAAACCAGAGTTTCGAAGTGTTATCAAGTCACTGTTTTTCGAAAGACGTGATTCACAATGGAATTTTATGTGAAAGGTCATAATATATTAGTAAAGGAATCAGTGTATCGATTTGTGATTCTCTCCTCGAGGTCTCTTTTATATTTAATTACTAAGGACTTTGCCAGCGCTATTTCTGCTTGAATTTTGCAACACCGTCAATTTAATTCTTTACAGTCCTTACATTTTATCAATTCTTTACCATATTTAACTGCTGTAAAACTTGCAAAGTGATTACAGTAGCTGGCTCAAATAAGAAATTAATCAAATAGTACTGTTACAGTAAAATGATGAGGATAGTGATGCACAGTGAATTTAAAATAAGTTATCTGTCTCTCTACTCCAATCGTTTCATTTGTTATTTGCCTAATTATTCTGTCCATAATATATTCCGCAATGAGACATTCTCACTTTCTCGCTGACTTGTACGAAGCCTAACATAACGGTTAGTTCGTCCCAACACATTATGATCTTTTTACCCTTTCATTCGCACTATAAGCTCACATATGTCTTTTAGAGACTTCATTTTATCTATTATCGACTTCATTGTATTGATAGATATTTCAGTTGTATTTTGAGACAATAAGTCCAAATATTAACCTTGTCCAATAAGTCTCTTATTTGCGTAGATTCCAGCAATAAATATTGGTTCAGCACTAATTTCACCGGCAGAGCGTAAAAGACGAGGTTCGACTTCCATACCGGTACTAGAAAATATGACGAACCGAAGTACAGCAAGCGGTTCTGCTAATGGAAACACCTCTTCGATATCCAAATCAACCAGCTGTGCCATGATTACATTCCGGATTAAAGCAATGGCTCTGCAATTTATCCCAGTCAATTAACGGCAATAATCTTTATTGTGGAGATGATAACTACCTCATGTTTTTGAAGATTTCTTTCACTATTCAGACGAAAACAGTAAAGGGTAAAGTTATAAATATCATCCAGAATTTCTGGTTACTATTCTTTATCTAATCTACGCAACCAACTAAAAAGTCTTACCAAATTTTCAAGAAATCCTCTCTGCCACCCTTATGTCTTCCTTAGATTTGATCAAATGTCTACTGTTAAAAAGGAATTAAGCATAGTTTTCTCCTTCGCATTTTGGATCCTATTACCCAATTTTATTTATGGTTAAAAAATCTCAAAATATTATTTCACGGTTAATACTATTGATGGATAAAAACTTGCCCAGTTTTCTTACTTTCTATGGATTGGATAATGAACATTTACAAAACGATCATCCCGCATTATACTACGAAGGAACAGAGTTTACCTTTGGTAAGGTAATGTTGCAATGAGAGCTTTGAAGGCATTACATAAAGATGCATTCGACGGCGGGAACTCGGCAGTACGGATCAAATTATTGATGCCCAAATAAGTAGCCAAAGTGGCGATCTGTTCATCAGAAATTAGTTTCAAAGCTAAACTAGAGATGAGCTCCTCTGGAGCATGAGGCAGGCCATATCGTAAATATGCGCACGTACTTTTCCACAGAAGTTCACTCCCTGTAGTTTATTGTTTAGCATATCCTATTGAGCAATTAGTTAATAGACGATCTAAGACTAGGTTTACAAACCAACTAGGTTTACAAAACGATGAAAAGAATTTTAAAACTATTTGATCAAAACAGTTGTCTAGTGTTTATTAGCAAACTATATTTAATGGTAATCCAATTTCCCAGTGCCCATATAACAATCAAATAGTATCTCTTTGATCATTCATAATAGCAGAGGTCAAACTATTACATTAAACTCTTGTCTACCCATTCATTTAGTTCACTTCTGAATTCTACACTGTTTACAGAAAACATGACAACGCTAACCAAGCTGAATAAGTTGTTCGTTGTGTTCCTTCATTTCATAACTTTCTTGCTTACTCGGCTGGGCATTTGCTGATTCCTCTGCTATATCAGCTCGCTGATAGAAGGAATTATCGGTAAGTGCTTGGATTAGCACATTCTTATCAGTTTCTGGAGCACCAATTCGATGGCCGAAGGCATAAATTTCCGAATCATAATCCCTATATTTAAATGATCTATCAAAAAAAGATAATTTGTAAAGTCTGAGGATAGAACCGTACAAGAAGAATATTATGTTTATGTGATAAGGTCAGCTTCATACCAGTTAGGATATGCAGATCGACTTAGTATAGGATCAGCTCCAGCTAACATTCGTCGGTGATATAAATCTTTCAGATACGGTCTTTCCCATCTTGCTCGGATATATCTACCTTTAAATATTTTGCAACATCCTCGCTGATATACTTAACAGCTTGAATATGCATTGCTCTCCGTTAAGAATTATTCAAGTGATACTTATTGAATTAAATTCTTCTACTTATAGTCCTTCATCCTAATATCTCTCTGCGATCTTAAATGATAGATTTTTAACGAATAATTACAAATATGAAATGAAATTTAATTAATCAACAACATTGCGTCAGTGGTATTTACACACAAATTATATTATTGCATTCGGAATTACTTTTCACGAACTTTACATTTTGCTTAAATTTGTATTAATTATGAAATGAAGTGTAGGATTTCGATTAGGCCTAGTGAATGGAACCCAAACTGGGAAGGCCTAAAACAGAAAAGACTTACAGAATATTGACAACACCGGCTTTTTCGTGAAAAACAATGATAGTGATGGTAGTGACGTCATCGACGTCAAAAGCCCACTTGGCACCTCTGTCCCACTAGCACCACCACCAGCTAACGAAAGAGCCAAATGCCGTGATGTTTGTTAAATTACGGCAACGGATAACCCGGGAAGAGGGAATATAGATGAATTCGAAAATTGTCAGTGCGTACGTATATATAGTACTTGAATTTCAGCATACAATGAAAGGGATGAAGCGACAGGGAGTACGGTGCCCGAGAATTCTTGGATGATTTTATGGGCAGCGGGGAGGCTTAAAAAAAGCATGCCAGTATAATCCTGAATGCTAGTAGATTCCCTCATACTCGAACCTTATTCAATTCCGTGAATAACTTATTCTTTGATACGATATCAGTAGTACAATTGAAGTAACTGTCGAAATTGCAATTATGACGCTATACAGTCTTACATGATTTTTCTATCTCAGGTTTACTGGGAAGCATATCAGTTTGGGGTGTTTTGCAATAAAGCGTTGACTTCAGCAAAAGATGTTATCAGGAAATCATCATATCAGAAAGGATTACTTATCACCTTAGTGTTTTTCTTGTCTCACTTATTTTTAAACAGATTTGATGTAAAATTTTTCCTTGTGCACATTTTTTGATATGTCCTTTACTGTTTAATTCGTATTATTTAAAGTTTGATCATTTCATTATTCAATTTCATTATTCAAGTATTCGTAAAACGACATTGATGCTTTATTGCTAACACTTTTTACATACTTGATCAAAATGAAAACGTTATAAAAGAAATCACGTGCATGCGTGACTTGTTTCTATAAGACTAGCATTAATTTGACTTTATGGTGATTTACTGCAACTTATCTTCCACTATCAGTGAACTATGCCAAACTCGGCGATATTAGGCTTCTGTTTCAGTAATATTAGTTACAGTATAGCCATACGTCATCGGAAAATGCCATATCTGATTACATATGACATTTCCTAAGGATGCTGGATCTGTCGGTATATATGTCGCACCATTTCCTCATATTGCTAGACTCAGAGATTCTATTCTATTTTCCGGCAATGCCGTGTGATTTCTTGAGAATGATAGATTTGACGATATCATCATCACTTTTCAAGAATACCGAGTATCGGTGCTCTCATAAGAGTATTTCACTGGATCCACAATTGGATAAATCCGTTCACTGCAGTTGAAGCAGATACTAAGTAACTACGAAGAGCATAATGATATTTTCATAAAATTATCATGCGCGATAAATTTCGATCAACAGTTGTTTGTTTAATGTACAGCGACAATCATCAGCGTGACGTATTGCTTGTATAAGGTTCATTATACTACCGCTAATACAATAAACAGAGACAATCGGATTAAAACTATTTCGATTAGGTAAGAGGTTGTACATAATGAACTGTTATGATCCTCGTATTGGTCACAGAAATACCATCTCTACGTAATTAGAAGAGATTCATTTGATGTCAACTTTAAATGCATTGCCTGGACAATATGGATTCATTGGCAAGAAAAATGGTGTATAAGAAGAAGAGTTTTACGATATGGATTGCTGGTTTGGGTAACGAATGTAAAGCAAAAGGAGGAGACAGCCATTTGAAATTTCTATCCCGCCCTGACCCTCCAGTAGACATCTTTTTCCTTTTCTATATCTCTGAGGTTATAAGAAATGTTGATATAAGGTTTTCCATACTGACAGAACGTTCTCTCTCTTTAACATTGCCGCTCTATTTTTCCCTCGAAACCAAAACTTGCGGTCATTTCTGCCTGTTATGGAGAATCATACATATCATTTTTAGATACCACTGCAGAAAAGAAAACAGTATATTGTTTGAAGTGTTTGAATGACAGCAAGGAAAAAAAAAATGCATGCGAAACGCCCTCATTCTGACCTTTACCTTTGAATCACATTCCAATGTATCCATCATTTTGCTGACCTCTCTATTTTACACATTCTGCTGTTACTCTCTTGACCCAATCGAGATTGACCTTAATTGAATTGGCGTCTTATTTCTGGAAGTTACGATCTTTCACAAATCATCAGGCAATAATTCTCATTTGTTTACTGTGACAAATCGAACTATTTTGTAAGATGGAAATTCCTTCTCAAACTGTATGTAATATTTTGTTTTGTATTCAAATATCGCGAGAAAATTCAATATATATTCGATTATTTTAATATTCGGCTTAAATAAATCATGGGTATCTCTAGCAAACAAAAAAGAAATAACATTGATAACTACGAATAATGTTTCTTAAACCTGACCGTAAGAAACTGCAGGGCAATAATGGACATTTTAATAATATGATCCTATTATAAACAGTATTTCAGTGAAACAGATCGATTGTACCCATATGACCCAGGCAATCAGTTGTAATGGATGATCCAGTAGCAATGGCATCATCATAATGCGAATTATTAGAATGACTTGACTCTGAATGATATTATTGGTAAGTGATAAGTCATACAAATTATTACGAAATTTCTTGTCGGGAAAAAAAAAGAAGCAGAAAAAAGAAACAGATTATGTTTACAAGTATCAGTTTGATATTCATCTTCAAAAAGGGTCTTGAGCTATAATTATGACAGTGACCTTTTTGAATAAAAAAAAATATTCCTCTCTCTTCTCTTACTAATTATTCATATTTCTTCTACTCACTTCCTTTTTTTCTTTTTTTCTTTTTTCCAGACAAAATCTGCTCAAGGATTACTCTAATTTCTCTCAAGTAATTAGAGTAATAAATACAGTAATAGAGATTGTATGGGAAAGCATGTCAAGTGTAAATACCATATATTTACAACAAATTCATTACGAAATAATGCAAAATTGGATGAGATGAAATGATAATATATAATAATTTAATAAGGGGAATTTTGAAAATAACATAAATATCGTACAATTCAATTGTTTCTTCTTTTTTGCATAATATTTGACAAGCTTAAGTGTAGTTTTACTTCCCTACTAGTTTATTCATTATATATATATATATATATATATATATATATATATATATATATATATATATAT